CACTGCCATTCCCAGCAGTGGTGCTGATGCCATGACGAGGGATGCTGCTGCTGAGGCTGGGACGTCAGGATTTGAACAAGAGCTTTCCACTTTGGTTGCAGAGGCTCTTGCCGTTCGGAGTGAGTCCGAGATTTCACCTCGTGAAGAGGATGCCGCCGTGCCCAGAACCCCTGCCGACGGAGACGACCCAGCGACAAGATCCTCAAAGGCTGAGTCTGATCAAGCATGGGCTGTGGCTGAGAAGACAGAATTGCAGAAGTCCACCGTCCCTCAGCTGAAAGCCATGTTGGCGAAATTGGGCGATGCTGAGATTGTGAAACGATGCCGAGCCTACAAGAAGGAATTTATCATCGATGAGATCGTCTCGTTGAAAAGAGATGTCAGGTCTTGCAAGCGAATGACGGCATTCTTGCAGACTTCTTCTGATGCCTCTGAGCCTTCTGAGAAAAGCCCAAAGCGGCCAAAGTTGGCACCATAACTGACTTGACCAGTTGGGTGGTAGTGAATTTTGTTGACATGATGGATGGGTCACAGGGAATTGGCCCTTGAAGTGTCTGGGGACTGGGGACTTTGCGTTTCACTGCTGACGGTGAGACCGGGCGAGAAAATTTTCATGCGCAGGCGCAGGCTCAGACTTGGCTGGTTTGAGTCACCACCAGCTGTGTTTAAGTTTGGTTGTTGCCGGTTCAGCCATTCAAGGGGTACACAGTACACACTGACATACACACACACACTTATCTGTATATGTATATGATACGATACTGTATAATACTGTATAAAGTATAAATATCCGTAAAAAACTTTATGCAACAGTCAACTTTCTTGTCCATCATCAGCATTCAACACTCATTGTGCGAACCCTTGTGACTTTCTGGTGTGTGTAGTGTGTGTGTGTGTAGATCTCCTGACATAAGGTGCAAGTTACATTGTCATTCGATCCTCCCTTCAACCGCTTCGAATTGACATTCCCACTGTTGAAAACAAAGTTAGCGTCATTAAAAAAGTTATTCCCCTGCGTACCCGTAGGTTCGCGAAACAAACCATTCATGGAAGACGGAAAACACTTCTTGCAAACTAGGCTCTGGCTCTTCTTCAGTTGGGAAGTTCCTTTGTATCTCAAAACTCCGTTGGAATCCCTGTATTTAACAGCTGTAGCTGGACCCTGAGTGGATGCCTTCCTTTTTGTCATAGGGCCTTGGTTCATGAGACAGATGAAGTACGAAGGCGCCCACAGTTTCGTAGCCTTCTCATTCTCGTGGCCAAAATGCCGCATGAGGAAGACGGTCCGGTACATCTAGGTGGATGATAGTGTGGCTGGTGGAAAAATAGACCCTGACCAAACTCGCGGGTTGAAGGGGTAACGCAAAAATGAATTCTGACATTCAAGCTAGGAATAGACACTTATGGGCCCAACAAGGGCACTGTACACAAGTGTGGAAAAGAAACCAATAGGTTTCAACTGTAGCGGGGCTGTATCTTTTGGTCATTGTTTTGGAGAACCCTTTTGAACAAGCTTCCAAGATGTTCGCTCGCTTTAGCGTGCGGAGTAGCCAAATCATCCGGTCGTGAAGCATCATCAGGGACGATTTGGGTTGCTCCAAGACCGGGGTCCCACCCATTGATATAATGGCCAAAGAGATCAGTGCATACCTAGCAGGGAACCTTGCAGCAATTTAACCCAACCATCACTGTTGTTTCCTCAAACCTCCTGGCCTTGCTACCATCAAATTGGACGCTTTGACACTTTGATGAGCTGTATTGCCCATTGGCAACAGCCAGTCGCGAGCACTTGTTCCGGCGTTTATGCTCACCCAAGTGCTGCATAACACCCCACTGAGCGCCAAAAGGTCACCAAAGCTGGAGTTGATTAAGGTGTACAGGATGAGCCTTAGGTCGTTGCCATTTGCCATTTTCATGCTGAAGTCATTACAAAAGGAACGCTAAACCCTCGAAGGTGCTCAAAAGAATAGTTTGACCTACATAACAAGCCACGTGAAGCCTCCAGATTGGTTAATGTCCATGGAAGACCGGCCCTGAGACGTTGCTGCGTTGTCATAGGTAATGTCATGGGCTGCCACACCATAGCCCAACCCTTTAGCAAGCCGTGACAACCTCCGTTTCCCAGCAAAAAGCTCCAGCACCTGCACTTCTTGCCCGAGAGGAGGAAGCGACAGCCAACTGGCCGCGAGAAGCAGCAAAAGAAATGCCTTGCGGCACATGGAATGGAGGGAAATGGGTCAACAGAACCGTTCATCCATCAAGACACTCTGGGCCCTTTGTTTTACCTGGTGAAAACATTTGGCATTTTTCAATCAGCCGGCTTCAGCTTGGATACCTTCGGGGCTTTGAACATCGCAAGCCGTCTCATGGCCAGCTCTAACTGAGAAGGGGTCATGGCAAATGGGGCCAGCTGGCCACAACGCAACTAGGTCTTGATGCCTTGAAGCTGCACTGGTGTGAGCTAGTGGTGTCAGCAAATGGTAAAGGTGCTTTGCAAAAAAGAAACCAGTTGAAGACATGTGAGTAGCTACAGTTAGCAGAGCAAACTGAGCCAGTGTGTCCAAGCGGGTCATCCCACTTTTTGAGGTAAGATTTAAGCACCTTTGGCGGCGGCATCTTTGCGGAAAGTACCTGCCAGAATTCACAAATAGCGGTGGGAAGTTCAATCATGTTCGGCAGCAAGGTGCCCCAAAGAAGGTTTTTGAAAGGCTTGGAGAGCAACTTGGGGCATCAGCCAACACACCAGCTTGGTCAGTGCTAGTTCGGCCTCAGGATTAGATGATTAGCCCATACTCCCAGAATATGTTTACCAAACATCGCAAAAAGCAGCGCCATTTGCCGCACACACACACGCACAAAAAATGGTCCCTACACCAAAGGCTATCCCTGCTGAAAACCTTGGAAAGCTGGATGGGAGCAAGCGCAGGTATTGCAGCTTTCCCCGTGCGATAGGCGAATGCCTACCAACCCACAAGCTACGGCAATTAACTTGCAAGTGCTTATCCATACACAGCTAACGCTTCCATGGGTGACCAATCTTGACGCCATCTTGTCGCACTGGAATCAAATCGGATCAGGTGATCTTGCCTCGGACACAAAGAACTGCACCGCAACGGCTTTTCGAAGGTGTCCGCAGGGACCCGTTTTTTAATCCAAAAACAGGTTCCCGCGGACACCTTGTTAAAATCCAGGAAGCGAACATACCATGCAATGACAAATGCTTTTCCGAGTTGCTCTTGACGTCTTCTTGCTCCAAAAACTTCTTGCCAAGATCCCGCGCGGCAGAAGGATAGCTCTCCAACGTCCCATCTGAAGCCTCATGCCAATGAACCTGACAGTACTTCCAGAAGATGTCCTGCACAAACAAACGCCCTCCAAAACAAATCTGCACAAGGAACTCTCGGGAACAAGAAAACAAGGACAATGAATCTGTGGGTTGATGAACAAGTGAGCATTCACCCCAGTCAGTCCTCAAGTCGGCTTGGGGAGCGAACCACTGGCTGGACAATCTCTTCAAAAGCCATCCTAAGGGATTGCCAAAAAGTTGCCATTGGCTCCTTTCCGGACTGAACACGTCTAGCAAAAGTGGCTTTCGCACTCTTGCTGTTCTTGGCAGTGGCCTTGGCCTTTGGCCTCGGAGCCTTCATTGTCCTTTTGGGCTTGGCCTTCATCGCCCTTTTGGGCTTGGCCTTCATCGCCCTTTTGGGCTTGGCTTTCATCGCTTTCTTGGGCTTCGAAGGCTTTGCCTTCGGACCCCTTCCCCTCTTGACCGGCCGCTCTGTGACCTCACTACTCCCGTTGACCTCGGCAGCCTTGGCCTCGCTACAAGCTGCAGGACGCTTGAAGCGGGCACGCTGTGATTGCCTCAGATCCAGCTGGTCCAAGCGAGAGATGCCAGTGTCCTGCGAGAACAATTGAAGCTTGGAACGTTTTGCATCACAAATCGTCAACACATCAAAGAACGTCGTGCTCGTTGAACATTTCAATAACGCCCCCTGAGTCCTTGTGGTCGCCGGCCATCTCACGCAGGGTAGGGCTTGCAGCCTTGGTCCTGATCTGCTGCTCTGGCGTTTGGGCTGGCCCTGAGAGACCATTCCCTTCGTTTTTGCCACTGTCTTGGCGCGCTTCAAAGCAGTGAGCAATGCCCGCAGTGGCCACTCCAATTTGGAAAAATTCAACCTTCTCAGTCTCGCAAGGTTCACAAGCGTTCTTCTCTACAGGCTCCACGTTCTGCAGAGCACTCCTGACCTCCAAGTCGGGAATCTGCGAGAGGCCTGCATCGCTTGACAGAAACGCTGCCATTTGAGTTGCAGCATAGGGCACGGTTTCGCTGGCTGCAGTCACAGCTTGGCCTCGGTCACGCACACACAAGCACACAAACTCTATGCCCGTACGCCAATCAGAAAATCAAAGCTTTGCAAAACAACATTTTCCTAATTTGTCTAAGGTGCTTCCCCAGTTCGCTTGGACAGAATTGGCTGCGATGGCAATTCGCCGCTCTGCCATTTGGTGCCTTTGCAACGGAAGCATAGAAACAAAAAACCATCAAGTTTCCAAACCATGAAGAAAGCATGCAGACCTGATTGCCATCTAGATACTCGAGCTGTTTTATTCGATCTTCCAGATCCATCTCCGACATGTCCTGGTGCGTTGCCTCCTCTGGACTCTGCCAGATAGTTCCCAGACTTGCAGTTTTCCTCATGGCACCGCCAAGGGTCCAGGCCAAATGTTCATCGTTGAGCGCGGGCTTGGAGTCAGGAGTTCGCGTCCCCTCATCAAGCAACTCCTCCAGGCCATCCTCAACAGGAGCTGGGTAGGGGTCACGTGGCGTCACCTCACATTCCTCGCCCGCAGGCTCATCATCCGCAGTCTCATTCGTCTCATCCAAAGACTTCCTGGACTTGGGCTTGGGGGCCCAGTACTGGGAAACTTGGTCGAAGATCCGGCGGAGAACCAAGTCCTGAGACTTGATGCCACGACATATGAGACAAGAGGAGCTCTCAAGCATTCTGTGCCCCAAACATCCCCCCAAAAAAGATCAACAAACATGTCAATTTCTTTAGTTGAGCCACCCGGTGACGGACGGTGTAATGCCGCCGCACAATCAGGGACATAAAGGCCTTCAGGGCACCTGCCTCACAGTGCACTAGGGCCGGTCGCGTTGAAAGGTTCAGATCTGCTCGAAACTGCCGGACCTGCCGCGAGAGTGCAAGACTCATCACAAAATCACTGCAAGATCTTTTCCCAAGAACACGACAGCCCAAACAATTAATTTACGGGCCTTGGACCTTGGATACCTCTGGGTCCGCAATTATCTGTCCACTAGTGACCAAACACGAATCCAATCCCCACCTCAAATTTCAGATCATCGATGTTCATGGTTTTGGGGACGCCGTCAGTTTTGGGGCACCAATAGTGCACACAAACCTCAATGACCTTGGCATTCAGAACCAAGGACTCAAAATTTATGTGGCCGCTCTTCTTCGGATCCTGCCACTGCAGCAGGGACTTGCGTTGCATAGAGCCTTTGCGAATGGCAGACGATTGCAACCACAGAGCGGCGAGTCCACTCACATCCTCTTCATCTGGGCTGGCCATAGCGCTGCCGCTGCGCAAACACTTGGCAAAACTCGGGCAAAAAACCCTTAGGGGCCACGAGAAACAAAACAACCAAGTTGGATTGACCGATCTGCCAATGCAAGCCGGTGATCAACCAACAAACGGCGAATCGATGAGGGCACGCATCCTGAATCAAAGCACCACTTGCCCTTCGAAGCCGCGCCTGGCAAAGCATTAAAGTATGCAGTGAATGAGGCTCGGAACTTTGGGTGAAATGTGTTGTGACCTTTTTGTGAAGTCAGAGTGAGCACTCCCACACATCACCTCATGATGAGAAGCACCCTCACAAAATCAAACTACCTCATACATACTGGTTTCAAGTTCGGTGTGCCTCATAGGGCCATAGGGCCACTCCCGGAGAGCGAAAGGAAGCGACATCTAAAGACCTGCGCGGCGGAATGACGATAGTGGAAAGGAGGTTGGGTCAAAGCAGCCGGTGTGCAACACAGTCGTCAGCTCGCAATGCACAGGTAACTTTGTGCTCCGTCTTTCACAAGACATCAAATCTCAGGTGCAAAATTGACTGTTGCCAGTCAGGCCCTCTCACTTTGACTCTTGACTTTGGTCTGGTGGGGCTCCAAAAGAAGAAGGCAGGCCATCGTGATAGTAAACAGTCTCGCTCGGACCATCAACAGTTGTGTGACCTCGCCGCGCCACAGCCGTGAACCTCTCTATGTCCTTTGGTGTTCCACCTTTTGCCTTTGCTGCCAAAAAAAGGTTTAGTCCAAGCAACAATCTTTCTGCCAGCCCCTCAGATACACGGCCAAGTTGAACACGTACCCTTTCTCCTGGTAGTTGGCAATCAGGTCGCTCACGCGTTCATACTCAAGTGATTCAATGTCCTGGGCGCAGGACAATAGTAACTTTTGCCTCAAAGCACCGGTGGCCCATGCCAAAACCAAAATTTCAATTAAGATCAAGTAAGTGTCTTTAGGCACATCTTCTGGCCAAAGAACGGCTTGGGCTTCTATCCAGAACTGTGGCGGGAGGTCCGCCACTCCTGTCATGAAAAGATATGAAAAGTGTACTGTATGTTTGACTTGGGCTTCCAAAAAAAGAAAAGGTGGTGCCCGGGCCTGCAGCCTCCATGGCCTCCCCCAATTTTCCAGTCTTGTCCAAGGGCATTTTTCTCTACGTCAACGAGATTGGGCCGCTAACAGCTTCAGACTCTGAAATGGAACAAGGGAACATGAAAGCACCACTCGACAAGCAAACGCCACAGCAGTGGCACCACCTGACAAACAAACGCCACAGCAGTGGCAAATGCAGGGGAGCGCACCTCAAAGCGCCGAGCGCGACGCTAGGGCTAGGGCCATCTAAGGCCATCCCCCGTTGAGCCAGTAGCTCTAACTGGATCTCATCTAGGTGTCCACCGGGTGGACGTCTTCACCAGTGCTGCACTTGAGAATCGGTGGGAGAACTTCTCCATTTCCAACAAATCTTCGGCTTCAAACGCTGCCCAAAAACATGTGTTTCACTTTTCCAGAAAAGGTTACCTTTTACCGGCATAAATGGGAGACAAACTCAAGGATTCCAATTTACGCCGCCAGCTTTCAATTTACGCCGCCAGCTTTCAACTTACGCCGCTGTACGGCAAAAGGCGCCTTTTCTGGAAAAGTGCCGCTAACGAAGATCTAGGTATAAGTCAGGAAATTCATTGGGTGAAACGTGTGATTCCAGCACCATAATCCAAAGCGTGCAGGAAACGCAAATTCATTAGGGTGGCAATCCGGAATGGTCTCAGCGCCCCCTTGCGGGGGATCACACTGTGCACCCAAGTTCGAGGGCACAGCGGCACACACTTAGATAATGGGTTTGCAGTTACATCTATTCCCCGAGGAAAAGAGTGGCTCAACGGAAAGGTGAAGCGTCCAAATACTTGAAGGTGTTTCAACAAATGGTTTGTGCACATCTGCAGCTCACGAAACGGCGGTTTAAACAGTTGTTAAAAATGCAGGTACGTTTACAAGGGTCCTAGAGGAGGTCTTCGTTGGCCACCGCTCCTCTGGGACCCCGGTGGCCCCCCTGCTTGCAGAAAACTCTTAGAAACAGAGGGTAACACACACATACAAGCAGCCGCATAGCGGCGCGCCAAAGTTCATTGCGGTAGTTCCAATGATGAAACAACGCAGTGGACAGCTTGTGCTTGACCTAGGTTGTAAACGGACGAATATATTAGCGCTTGATTGCCGTAGCTCTTTACTGATGAAACAACGCAGTGGACAGCGCTGGCCTTACTTAGGTTCTGGAGGGTGGCTGACAAATGCATTAACACTTCATTGCAGGAGCTCTTTAAAGATTAAACAACGCAGTAGACAGGTTTGGATTTAAGGTTGCTCAAATGCATTAGCACTTTAAAGAGGAAACAACGCGGTAGACAGCTTTGGCACGACTTAGGTTCCAAAGGTGCATTAGCACTTTTATAACTGGATGAACCAACTCAACACAACCAGGCGCATTGCGGTGTGCCAAAGTTCCTTGCGGTGGCTCTAATGATAAAACAACGCAGTGTATAGCTTGGGCCTTACCTAGGTTTTTTACCGGTGGTTGACGAATACATGAGCACTTCACTGATGAAACAACGCAGTGGACAGCTTGGCCTTACTTAGGTTTTAGAAGGTGGCTGACAAAAGCATTAACACTATATTGCAGGAGCTGTTTGAAGATGAAACAACGCAGTAGACAGCTTTGGCTTTACTTCGGTTTTAGAGTTTGCTCACAAAGGCATTAGCACTTTATTGCTGGAGGAAACAACGGAAACAACGCAGTAGACAGCATTGGCACTACTTAGGTTTCAATAGGTTGCTTTTATTCTGCACAGTATGAGCGCTGGTTTTGCAATCGTTCTGTGCGGGTAATGGGTCGAGTAAACGAGCCTCAAAAGCGACCTAACAAGCCTGAGGAAAAAACAACAAACAAAAGAAAACATAAGAAAGAAAGAGTGGGGGGGGTTGGTGTGATCGACGCTCGATCGTAAGGCCGATTCCGGCGCCCTTGGACGAAAAACCCTGGCAACGAACGGAAATCGAGGCATGCAGTGAACTACTCAAGAGTGCGTAAGGAGAAATCAGTGGTAAGTCCCCGTAGACTCGGCAGTATTTAGTCAGCTGATCCTTGCAAGGCCGGTAGATCAGTGAACGATCGGGAAAATTCAGTGGTGAGTTCAGCGCCCCCAAAGGGGGATCACACTGCACGCCCAAGTGGGAAGACGCAGCTGGACACACTTAGGTTCATAGCTCCAGTGAAGGAACATAATTTTCAGAGAGTGACTCGCCGAATGATTACTTAGCACTTGACTCGGAATGAAATAAATTCCGGAAAAACACTAGGTACATGAACCACCATGAAACAAACCAAGGGACCACAGCAACCAATCAACAGTTAAAACATGTTAAAACAACAGCGGCTACGTTTACACCTCCCTGGTGCGCGGTCTTCAGTGGCCAGGACGCGCGCCAGGGAGTCCTGGCCCCCTGCTGTGCAAATTCTGGTGAGAATTCCTAGAAACGGAGGTGGACACACTCTGACATGGGTATTCAGTTAATTCAGTTCCCAAGTCAAAAAGGAATGAGGGAAACGCAAGGTGGCAGGGTCAGCGCAACTGAATTGTTGAACAAATTGTTCACTCATCTGCAGAACGCGGCTGAACGACGGCGGCTGAAAGCAGCTGAGGGAAATGTTTTGGGGTCTATCGTGGAAACCACCATGAATCAAATCGAGAGTGGAAAAGCTTGGTCAACAGTTGAAGGTGCAGGTACACCCGGATGATCAGTCCCTGCTTCCCCTTCTTGTCCACAGCTTCATTGCGTGTGGTAGGACAAGAAGGCCACACGCCCCTGCTTTGGAAAATGGTGGTGACGGTAACGGTGGCAGTGAACCCTTTGGCACAGGGGGTGCCCCCCCCCGTTGCCGCTTCGCGGCGCGCATGTGAAAAGCCTAAATAGTCACCTAAAAAGCCTTAGAAACAAAAGAAAAGAAGGACAGAAAGAGCAGCGCTAAGAGGGCAAGAAAGAAAGGTAGGTGTAGGAAAAATGAATACTTAGCCCTTGACTGGGGTAGGGAAACGAGCCTCAAGAACAACCTAAAAAGCCTGAGAGAAAGCCCAAGAAACGACCGAAAGCGTAAGAAGGAAAGCGGGGGGCAGGGAAGTGTAAGTACATGTGTGTGTCCGTGTGTGCGTATGAATACTTAGCCCTCTAGAGTTACTGATTACTTAGCAGAAATCAATTACGTGCAATAGCTAGGGAGCGGGACTTTAGTCTTAGACCGCCCGGGTAGGAAAGACTAGAAAAGGAACAACACAGAAAAAGGCACCGACACACAAGTGTGTCGAGTACCATTTCCCTATGTTGCCCTAATTAGGTAGGGAGTAGAACTCAGCTGGGGGGGGGGTTGGGAACCTGCCTCATTGGGGGTGGAGTACCGTTTTATAGCCCGGCGGCTGTCTAAGTAATCCCGTGTTTAGGCCCGGCGGCTGTTGAGGCAGTTAATTCGGTGGAAGTGGAGGTGAACTCCAGTGAAATTCCGGTGAGCGGTGGTGAGTTCCGTTAATGATTTCCCAATGAAACAGCGCCCCAGTGACGGGGATCACACTCAGCACCCGAGTGGGACGGCTGAGCGAAACACACTCTGACATTGGTATTCAGTTAACTCAGTTCCCAAGTCAAAAAGGAATGAGGGAAACGCAAGGTGGCAGGGTCAGCGCAACTGAATTGTTGAACAAATTGTTCACTCATCTGCAGAACGCGGCTGAACGACGGCGGCTGAAAGCAGCTGAGGGAAATGTTTTGGGGTCTATCGTGGAAACCACCATGAATCAAATCGAGAGTGGAAAACCTTGGTCAACAGTTGAAGGTGCAGGTACACAGGGATGATCAGTCCCTGCTTCCCCTTCTTGTCCACAGCTTCATTGCGTGTGGTAGGACAAGAAGGCCACACGCCCCTGCTTTGGAAAATGGTGGTGACGGTAACGGTGGCAGTGAACCCTTTGGCACAGGGGGTGACACACACACACACGTGATTTGGTTTCAGATAATGACAAAACTTTAGCAACAATTTTGCAGATCCCGGACATCTTTGAATTGAAGTCATTGAGATACAACGCGAGGTTCATAGGGTCATCAGTACTTTGGGAAAGCGTTCTGCCATGAGAAGGGCCCATGGAAGTAATTTTCCAGGGGGTTCTATGGCATGAGTCGAGACAATAGATACAGTATTCAGTGTATATGCTTTGCTCGAAGATCAAGTTTGGAGCTCCATTGTGCCCATGTGCATTCGTCAATGGGCAAGGATCACCATGTTGATCTACCCAGTCAGTGGTCACAGTTAAACATAGTTAAAGATGTTTTGGTTGTTTGCCGTGCCTTCGAATAGAACATGTTTTTGTTTTTTGACCGTGATGTTCCGAAGAAATCGAGGAAATCTGTTGAGTAGTCAACGTTTGTTCTGAGGAGATCCCCTTTGCCAATCCTTCAGGCAGGGACACGGCCTCAAGACAAGACAAGACAAAACAGTTTGATTGTTTGGCTCTAGTTTATCCCTTCGCCAGTACGTAATGAACAACATTATATATTTATATTACGTATTATGTTACTTGACAAACATCACCACACTGTTCAATTCCTGTATCGGCAAGGAACCCCCAGGGGCCCTAGTCCTTTCCTCAACGGTTTGTCACGATCGGCTTTTTGTGTGGAACCTCGGCAACAACCAACGAATGGTGTAAAATGGTGCATGTTCAACTCTGGGAAGGGTGCCACACATGACTCCCACATGAGCAGTCGTAGAGACTGATCGGGTCCAACTTGGTGTTTTTAATTCCAGTCTTTTGCCTGACAGGGGTGCAAGATGGTTTGACCGGTCAAGAATCATGCATTGTGCCAACCATTATCAAGAAACGGCACTTGAACTTGTTTTTTTGGCGCAAGGCGGGCGTAGTGTCGATGAACACTTCCACACCAGTTCGATGCATTGGCAAAAAGGAAACATTCCACCAACCATGCGAGTTGTTTAGGCTGCATTAGAGGTTGCAGATCCAACCCATCATTGTACATGCAAGGTAATGACACTTTGCAGATTTACACAAAAGTTGTGTGTCAAAAGGGAGTTGAAAGCCAGAGATGAAGGAACCTCACTATGATGCCTGTGGTCATCACAGAAGATCAAGATAGGACACCTGATGAGTTAATACATGTCTCGTGTGTTTTTGCCTTCAAGACATTTTTGTTTAGAACAAACCGTGCAATCGTGCAATTTTGAGTGAAGCAGTCTGCATTGGCAGCGGTTCACCAACATGGCCGAGCATCAAAACCATTTTGCATCCACAATATCCACAATTGCTGCTGAAAGAACAACACATGTTGACATGTGATTTCACCTTTGGGATCTCGGTCGCTGGTTTACGAGACACCAAATTTTGTTACAGTGTTTGCTTGTTTTGGCGCAACCAACTACCGTCATTTATTTTGAAATCTTCCCAGGAGCCTGTGAGGAAGGCGCTGAACTTGGTCACAACCAACGCTGCACAACCTTCTGTGCTGCGGGCTATGTCCCTTCAGTTGCCAGCTTGGAATGTTATGAACCTCGGACGAATTCCGCGCAGCTCCTTGGTGTTGTGTTTCCATGGACCTCACCTGGGCCCAGAGGAAGGTGGTAGCGGATGGTGGTTTCTTTTCATCGGTATCACCAAGTAATGTAGATGAGAGATGTATTACACGTTCTCGTAGAGCAAAAGGTGTAGTGATTGGATGTTCAGAGCATCTGTGAGTTTCCACAGGTTCCAAAAAGTACCGAACATGCTGAGACCTTTAAATTACCATATATCATACTGACAGCCAAACATTGAACACTCTTGATCACTTCACCACATGAGTCAGCTTGCAAAGCAATGTCGGGTTCTTAGATAGTGTAACTATGTTTGTGAAGCAGTGTAGAGAGTCGAAAGACCAGCTTTATGTGCATGGCTCACCGTCAAGAGCGCAGATGTCCACTTCCCCCGTTGTGTGCGCAGCACCCTATGTTAGATAGCTTTATGACGTCCGCAACCCAGAGTTTATTAGTCTGAAGATCAACATCAATTCACACCGCTTCGCGGTAGAAGCCGCCCGCACAGATTAAATGGATAATGTGTCACTAGCACCCCACGAGGATACCGGGTTGGTTACTGGTGTGGGAAGCAGCAACTTGTGCTGTCGGAGCCGGTATGTCTCGGTATGTCTGTCTCAGTCTGTCTCAGTCTGTTTGTCTCGGTCTGTTAGTCTGTCTGTCTCTTTCGGGCAAAACACACGGTCACACGAACGCACCCACGATGTCCCCCAGGGGCTGCACAACCGGCATCGCGAACGTTCACTTCCGAACCTGTATATATTTTTTTTAAAGCAACACACCAGTTTCCAAAAAAGAAGTGCCCCCCCCC